ATATATATATATATATATAATATACATATATATAGCGGTAATGCATTCGTATGATAATAATAAACGAAAAAGGCAATTCGGCAATAATTGACTTGATCAAAGTAATTAAAACTATAGAATCGGAAGAAGATATCTAATTCAAATGAAAATGTATTGCTTTATGCTACTATGTGTGTAGGAAAATAAAATAAAGATGCTAAGCTGTAAGCAGAAAAAGAATGGAAAAATATTTGTAAAAATCTATGTGAAAATAATGGTATACATATGGGAATATTAAGAACAGAATATCGTAGCATGGCACAGATACATTTTAAAGCACATTTGTCGTTCATATTTTGTAGTTTATAAGAAAAACTATGTACAATTTTTTAATTAAACGAATTAAAGGACAGAGTAAGGCACACATACACACTCAACAATGTTTAAGGCCCAATTTTACTGTCCTCTAAAAGAACATTATACATTGTGTGCTATGTATCTGTGTACCATGATGAATTTCATGAATGAGAGATTAGCCTTATAGAAATTTACACTACTAATTATCCTTTTTTTTTTCCCCCTCTTAACTTTCGCTCTATTTTCATGTCAAACGTCTGTTCATTATCCTTGTGCAGTACATTTAAACGCATCTGTGCCAGCATATAATGTGTGTATCATTTTGTTTGCATGCAATTTCAATACCCACCACGTTCGCTATAGATTGTGTTTCATTACTAAACTACTAAGATATTTGTGTGAAAGACAGATACATCATGCATATTTAAAATTGAATTATTGCCGCTTGTGCATAATTAAAGAATAGAATTTTCCAAATGTGTATATTTGACAAAGAGTGAAACCGTATTTGAAATATAAGCAATTCTTTTTTTCCATACAATCTGTAACATCTAATTAACAATTATCTCGATTTTTAGACAATACATATACATATACAAATATATATCTCTACATGTAATTAAATTAGATTGTAGTAATTATATATCATACTTATATTATATATCAAAAGTATGCTATATTTTTAGCATTATATTTTTAGAATTACCGCTTATGAGAAATCTAAAGATAAATTTTTTTCACTGAATATACTTGAATGTGTACAACTATTCTTTATATTATTTTACAATATATTTGAATATATAAATATATATCAAATATTCTAAAGTAATTTCAAACTAATTACAGACATTTAGAAAAGTTACTTACCTTGATGTGCAGGTGGCTGTGAAGAAACTGAACTTTGTGTTACATTCCCTCCTGATTGTTGACTCATATCTTGTATTGAACCATCATTTTGTGCTGGTGTTGCTGTTGAATTATTATCCATGTTACTCATCTAAAACAAATTAAATCACAGTTTCATATTTTAATATACGTAAAAATTATTAATAAAATTTTAATATAAAAATACAATTTTATCCTCTTTGCATATAAACATTTTGCAAATAATGATATTTAAATACACTTACAATTGATATTTGATCCTCGTCAATGCTGCCTTGAGATTCAGTATTGGTATTAACAGGTCTCCTCACACTTTCGTTATTTTCTTGCGAAACTATCAATGGTTCTGGTTTTACAATATTAGTGGCAACTAAAGTGATTTCATTCATTTCTTCCGGTTTTTCACCAGATCCAGATGTTGATCCTGTGGATGATTTCCTTAATCTCTTTCTACGAAAAGATGGTGACAATGGAGAAGGAGATGGTGAACAAGATTCCCCACGATCTCCTCCTTCAGTTTCACTGGTACCACGTGGCCATTTGGTTAATGAAGCGGTATTCATTTCTGCGAGTGCTTTTATTTTCAAACTTTCTGCAGTCTACGCAATGAAGCCACAGGAAAAATTGTATCATTACCATTCTAACAAATATATGAGAATTATGAATCTACAAATATATCAAGTACCTTTATAATAGATGGTAGTTGATCCTCTGATATGTTCACTTCACCATAGTACATAAAGTCAACCATAATTTTCAAATCTGAGAATTTCACATCCTTTAATATAACAATTGGATGTTGACACGGATTCACAGTAAACAATGACTGGAAATATGTACTGCACGCAGACAGAACAACTTTGTGTGCCTGAAGTTGTTTGCCCTCGGCAGCCAACGTAACGTCCACCAATGTCTCATTGTTCAACAAATTCGAGAACACCGAAATGAAATTTGGCTGATGATAGTTCCAACGCAGACAGAACTGTTGCATCGACATTGCAGCAAGCGATCAAATAACTTCCAAACACTGCAATTGTACCTGAAAAACCATTGACCCCTTATTATATCCACAGAACAGTTCGCTTAACATAAAAAAGAAACCTGTTATGTACCATTGACAAAATTCATTTCTCGTGATTTTCAAAACCGAGGGACAAATCATTTTGAATTTCACGTGAAGAAAAAAAAATGGAAAAAAAAACTAGGATCTCGTGATATAATAAAATTATCGACACGAGAGTTCGTGCTAGTAAACATTAAAAATCAGAACGCAGAGAGCGCGGAGAGCACAGAAAATACATCGAACAATTCGCTAAACGAAAACAATTTGATCGCTGTCGCTGTACAACTGAACGAGCCACTCGGCGACAAGAACTGCGATCGAATTCACGAAACTCCCGTATCCCGGCGATTTGTCATTTCTGAAAAACGTGTGAATTGCGCGATACGCGAACTGTCGATACGCGCGTCATAAAGCGTATTTCCGAGACGATGAAATAAATGAAAGGCCGCTCAACAATACGGTTACAATGGCTTCACACACAATAAATATAGACTTGCGTGGAGAGAGAGAAAAGGCGTACGGAAGCGTAATTACTTACTCTCAATCGAAACGAGAATTCCGCCGAAAAATAACGACGGTAGTTGACGAGGTATCCACTGGTTGAGACACGACGCACTCCGGGATTCGTTTCCGATGTTCGTTAGAAAAAACGAAGTCCGCTCAGCGCTGCCATGAATTCGACGAGATTTTCCACACAACAGGCTAAGCGGTGACGCTTGTGTAATTCACAAATGACGTCATGAATGAGAAATTAACATTCCACGTATGGCGCGCGGCAAACACTATAGGAATCACATTCGACAGATATGTTGACGTCGCAGGCAAATTTCTCGTGTAATCGACAAATACCAAGATCTTATCAACGTGCGTCCTTAGAAAACTTAACTTGATCAATATAACAGCCGACTCAGAGTGACATCTATCGAGAATGTGACAAGAACCATGTTTCTTACACCTTTTCAAATGTCTCTGCTTTCTTTCTTTTTTCCTTTCTCTCCCCTTTCCTTCGGAGTACTTTATATTTTTGAACGACGACAAGGTAGCGTACGCGGATTATGAAAATAGCAATAGGTGACGGGCAATCGGAATCTTCGTCTTTAGCATCGGAGAATTGGAATCATTTTGAATGTGAAATTCTTTGAAAATATCGAATTTTTAAATTCTGGCGAGTATCGAATGTCACGGTTTATTTGTGAGCAATGTGTATTAACAACAATGGGGCAGATAATCTTAAATGATGAATGAGCATATAAGAAATCACACGTGTATATGTGCATATGCATATACCTATGTATTACCTTTGACTAAGAATAGGATAGACTGTATATTAAACGAAGTTTCGTGTCTCAGGATCTGAAATACCGACCAGAAAAAAAATAACTGGTTTTTTAGCGCACTTTATGCTTTAACAACGGTGAATCGAGGAACTACATCAAGTAAAACGATCGAAACTGACCAAGCATTGAATGCGCCAGAAATATGATTTTCGAAATCCATTAAACCTGAAAATCCTGAACTAAAAAACTTTTTTGATTTTAATTCTCATCACTAGTAGCACCATTGACTAATTAGGTTGGAAAATCTACCTGAATCGATACGACAGGATGTGACATGAAAATGGTAAGAAAGTTCTAGGACCCGTAAATTGTAGGCCGAAAAAATACATTGCGTGGTCTACTCATATACCTCGTCTGTGATTTGAAGCGACTTGAATTTCTCGTCACATGCCTTGAAGCGCATCATAAAAATGATTTTTTTAAAAATATAGAGATCGTATAATTGAAACAATCCGTGGTTTATTGAAATTATAATTATTTTACTCCATTGCTATATAAACACATTCGACAGTACACAATGAAAAAATGTTCCGCCTTTTCTAATATGACGAAAATTCTATAATTAATATAAATTAAATAAATAAGGAACAGATTGTTAGTTCCACGTCAGACAATAATAGAGACAATACTTTGCTAACTAATAGTCACCAACGTTTTGTACGTGTATTTATAAGTGTGTACAGATCAATTCTGAATTGAAGCACAGTGAAGCGTAACTGTCACCGTGTAACACACACATTCTCTCTCTCTCTCTTTCTCTCTCCCCCAATCTTGCAGAGAAATTCGTGCGCTTCTTTTGCAAATCGTATTCGTTGTACTCTAGATCGAAACAAAAAGAACGGAAAAACAATTAAGGTTTAAATATGTCGTGTCGGTTTGCCAGAAGAGCAACATATTCATAAATAATACATTTTTTAGGTATCTAAAAAAATTAATTGTAAAAAAAGATTATTTATTAAGATTACTATTTATTAAGAAATACCCTAATTACTCAATGAAATTATAATAAGAATAATATTTAAAAGAATATTTTAATCTTTTTTTTTTAAAAGTATCACTTAAGGTATACACTTAAAACTTAAAGATTATTATGTAAATTATAAAAGAAACTCAATTATTTGTTCCATTGCTATGTATTTATAATACTCTGGTATTTCATCACTCTTCTAGCAAACACTGATTAAATATAATTATGTATATACAGAGTATTTCATACCTCATCGGCAAAACTTTAAAAGCATAATCTTCAAGTGAAAACAAGAAAAAAGTGTCGTATAAAATTTGTTCATAAACGCTTTGTTACTGAGTTGTAGGTAAATATTGAAAATAACGTGAATATATGCGTAACAGCGAAGTTAAACATGTGAACATGTGCCTGTATCATAACTTTGATATGATATTATATCTATAAATTTATATGTGTTTACTTTGTCTTTACCTACTGGTATGTAAAAATCATTGAAAAGTTTTAAATTCTCATTTCAAAATGACTATCTTCTGTATTGATGCAAGCTTACGTATTATCAAACTTTGAATTCGCTGTTACGCACGTATTCACATTACATTCAATTGTAACACTTATAACTCTGTAACAAAGCATTTACGAACAAACTTTATATATTATTTCTTTCTTGTTTTCGTCCCTCCTAAAATTTTGCTGGTAAAGTGTGGATACACCCTGTGTATATGTATATACGTGTATTGAGGTATATTGTATTAACAATAAATATGAAAATTGGTAGAAAGAAAGGTGCATGCTGTTCTCGGTAATTGTTCAAGGAATTGAGCATTAGAATCAGAACCATTGAAAAAAACGATTCGCGTTATAAGAACAAGAATTTCTAGTTTTTAAGATTTCCTAACTCGCAAATGGACCCTTGATTTTGGGTTATACTCTTATTGCTACCTAATAATATTAATTTACATTGAGAGTCTCATATAACAATTTCATATTTTCATAATTTTGATATGATATATCTATAAATTTGATTTTTTCCCGAATTTATTTATTTCGTTAACCGATTTGCAAGAACAAAAATTGTTTGTTACTTCACGTTAGTAATATGCAACTCTTGACCATTTTGACAATAAACTCTTGACAGTGAACTTTCCACAAAGGATAGCTTAAATTAGTCACGAATATATAAGACAAATAAGGAATATAAACATTATTGTGCGTTAATTGTGATGCGCTTTGTTAATTCGGACACGCTTTTAAGATGCTAAAGTGCCATTAGTAACCTAAACCATACTTGAAAAAAGAAAAAAATCACGTGATTAAAGTAAAATAAAAATAATTGTTATACAGAGATACAATATCATCAAAAAGAATTACTATAGTAAGTATCATTACTACAAAAAAAATTTAATATCACCACGAAATGCCTGTCTCGATATTTAGAAAAAATCTCTTTTGCAACGCAGCATGATACTGTAAAAATACTGTGCACAAAATTGAACACTCACAGAGAGAATTATATTTGTACAGAATTGAAATTGTATGAGAAGTGTGCAAAATATTGAATAGCAGAGAACTTTTCTCATCGCATTAAATAAGAAAAAGATCTATGCATCTGCCTATTGTTAATAACATTTAAACATCAACATATTTTGCTTGAGGAGAAATTTCCTGTCCTTGTTTTTATTAAAAAGGCAACAAAGAATTTACCTGAAGTTTTTATTAAAAAGGCAACAAAGAATTTAATGTTGCCTTTTTCGTCTGAAAAGTTGTGTTAAAAATAAAAATGATCACACAGATGCATAAATATCTTTCGGTCATCCGAAGTGTTTCAATTTACTAGGCTTTCGCTGCTAGGCCGTGGTTTAATAACCAGACTCTGTAAGGCTCTTATTTCGTTTTCAGTGAGATTTGGAGGTCCGAACAGAAACTCCCTATGAGAACTTGGATTTGATAGAAGGTCCTGCATGTTCTCGTTAGTTAGCACCAAGTAATGTAGAGAGGTTTGTGTTAAATTTACTTTCCTAGCTAACGTCCCGGTAATATGAACATCGTCGATCCAGAAGTATGGTTCTTTCTGCGCTTCACGATACAAAAGAAATACGCTATCAGGGGAATAGAGTATAGCCCATCCGGCACAATATGCAGGATAATGTCTACCAGGATATTCTTGAGGGGAGACTCTCCATTTGGAACGCCACGATCTCTTCACGGTACCCGTGGACAGAAGATCGCATAAGATCAATCGTCTGGCTCCCCATGGTGATAGATCACGCGTCAAAAAATCCAACATGGCAGGTATATGAACAAAAACATCGTCATCTAATTTTAATATATATTTGGCACCTGGAATAAGAAAGAAGATAAACATTCTCATAAAGAACATATTTATGTAACAGATGTATCCACAAAATATGTTTATCACGAACAGCAAAGGAAAGATTTACCACTTAGTGGTGAAAGCAAAAGATTCCGCCATATTTAAAATTTCGTACGCGCAATTTAATCCATTAAGTATTCTATTTTGTAACACTATAGCAAGAAGACTGTTCCTTTCATTTACACAGATTTTATGATTATGAAATTTGGAAAAGTCGAAACACGTATAATACTGTGACAAACTAGTTGGTACTCAACAACAGTTTAAAAGAATGTCTCGAATCATTCTTTTAAATATTAACTTACTTGGACAATGATACGTAGCCCATTTCAATGCCATCACATGCTTGTAAGTCATGTTTCTGTAGGCATCGAGAAAGTTGCCTTGTATCAAATCTTTGTATTTTTTGTTCTCTTCTTCCAGCATTGTCTGATACTCATCAGACGAACCGACAAAAAAGAGGAGTTCCATGTCCGGAGATTGCTGACCCCATGTCTCCCGGACCACATTTCTCTTGATGAAGTTCTCGGGAGCCGAGTGGACCAACATCAGCAACAACGGGTGAGTCCGGTTACACGGATCATTGTTGATCGTGAACCGGAAGTTCTTTATGTCTATCAGCGTGGATTTGTCACCGAACGGAAGTTCGTGTAATAAATACGGCTGCGGGGAGGGCGTCACGTTCCCGGGAAGGATTAGCAGATATCCTGGTGCCGACGCGCCGCTGCTGTACGGCGTCGGTGAACCGGAGCTGTCGATGTGAAGCCAGAAGGAGAAGCATCCAGTCAGTGCCAAGGCGACCACGAAAATCAGAGTGTAAGGCGACGTACCGGAGGCATGGAGCCGCCGCTTATCCAGCATACTAACGAGTCCCTTACATCATACACATGTAAGTTCGGCTGGAAGATACAAAAACTCGTCAGATTTTATTCTTCAATGAAGTATCTTTTTATCTATATATTTTATAAGAAATATACAGCGGTATAGAATTTTTGTAACAATATGAAGGTACTAAATAATACGAATAATTAATATACTTGAATCTACTTAATTAGTACCTAAAAATAGTGTTGTGTAAAAGCTTTTTTGTAGTTGTCATGCGTCTCATAGCCATTGTAGTTGTCACGTTATAGGTGCTACCAACACTCTTTCCCATTAGAAGTGAATAATATAGCAGAGCAAATCATCCTCACGAGGATTAATTGTTTCTTCCTGAAACATCTTATAATTTTGTATGTTCTGTAATATTTTTTTCACAGATTCATTAACTTCTAGACTGAGCAGTTCAAGTTACGTATAAATTGCAGAGTATAACAGTAATTTCATTTCTGGAAGAGGATTGATAATGTCATATGATAGATAGTAGTGATCAAATCAAATATTAATTTCAATAAGAGAAGATCTGATAAGATAATATAGATTGAATGAAAAATCAAGACATGAGAGTATCTTGGAAATAACGTCGATATGTGTTGACTTTCGAGTTGGTCTATGTCCAACCGAATGAAAGACAGTCGATTATCGATATTTCAGGTTACACCTTGAACTAACGTTGGACTTCACTGGTAATATTCGGCAGATGTTTAAAGCCAGCCGAGTGTTCCAAGGATACTATGAATGAAATTAAATGATGCCAAGCGTCTTATAGGTGAACAATTTAAATATTTATGAATAATCTACCGACTGACGTTATTAATGAGTCATCTTTCTTCATCTGACTCCAGATCAAAAGATCATTATTGCTTCAAATGAACATCTATTTTCAATTATATTATCCATACATGTTATCGTACACTTGTACAATTAGCGTATAAACACATTACAAAACATAGATATTACTGCAAATGCAGTTACATAATTAGTTACTTTACGCTATATATCTATCATGATAATCTTCCAACAATTCAAGGACAGAGATGTTTTATACACGACTATATAATTTCAGTTAAAAACTTTTAACACATCCTGAATTTTCTGTGTAAATAATGTACAGAAAGATATGTAGACAAGTTAGGTCTTATTCCGTTGAATAATTTCCACCCTTGCATGACCTTGAGTAGTTTGAAAGTCGATGTTTAAAATGTACTTTCGCCGAGTGTATTGTTTAAATGTAAAAACAGATTAATTTTAAAAAACACTAATTTAAAAAAAATCATTCGAAATAATGAATTTTTAAAAATGATACATTTTTACTTAGATTGTGCACGTGTCTCATTATTATTAAATTATTATTATTACAAGACGTGTCCATCTCTAAATATTCGATGTACAATGTATCGTTGAGGATTATTATAATTTTTAAAAGTAATACTGATTTTCGTATTAAGAAATCTTTTTGGCGCCATTTCTTTCAATTCAAAATTCATATTGTTGCCTAGTTCAAGTTAGGTTATGTGTAACGCAAAACAAAGATATCAGACATTAATCAAAAATTAAACATACTTCATCGCATAGTGTCTACAGTTATCTGGTTGACGTGTCGCGACGTGGCAGTATTCAATGGTCCCCAAAGACTGAAATATCTTATTCAGATTCTATATTTTTCCATATAAGATCAGTATGACTCGGTAATTTCTTTTTGTTCTTTTCATGTGGAAATCATTGTACACGTCAATAACTGTTGGAAGCTGTTCAAAGCGTATGCATATACTTGGAACGTAAATTTAGATTTCTTGGAAAATATCTGGAAAGGAAGGACTCCGCTTCGTAAAATATAAACATGACGGTTGTTTCATGATTTATTCTAACTAATTATACAAACAGTTTATGTAAGTATTAAAAAGATAATTACTTTTTTTTTTTAGAATTATTACAAAATTATGTTTCGTTCTTTCGAATATACAGTACTATATTTAATAATAAAATCAATCAAGTGGTAATAATAAGTCAGTTATGATGAATAACTAAAATTATTTTTTTGCACGTGAAAAAGTAATATAATAAATATTCCATTGTTTTCTAAAATAGTCATACATAATTGATAATGGCTGATAACTTTTCATTGTATATTTCTTTTTTTAAATATAAGATGCATAATATTTATATTACCAATAATTGTAATATTTTAATTAAGTTTTTATAAGTTATAAATTTCCTCCAATTTTTATAGATCAAAATGAATAATTACTAGTTAAAGGAATATTTTACAAAAAAAAAGCCGAACATCGGTATTGCACGAAACTATGCTACATAAACTGTACAGCGCCTAGAAAGTGCCTTAAAAAAAAATCAACATTCTAGAACTTTCGTTTTTGGTACTCTCAAAACGTTCAAATTTATAATATTTCAACGTATGTAGCATAAACACGTTTTGTTTCCTAAACGCTTGTCTCTGTTCCCTCGAAACAAAGGAAACATTATAGGGCTGACTGGCCGCTTTACACGCTTCATTAATAAGTCACGGAGAAACTTGTTACACATCCTCAGGTTTCAACAGTTCGGTAGATAATTTATGAGACGATGTACACAATTTTCCTTATTTTTTTGCACGTACAAGCATTTCGATGAATCGTCTTAATTTTTCAAATTTTTATCTCTATTTAGAAAACAGATATTTTTTAATACAGTATGTTATTTTAAATATACGTGCACTGAATATATTAAACATGAGATCGTAATTGTCAAATTATTATTATAATATTATCGTATATATCGATATAACGCTAACATACGTTTCTAAATAAATCTTTTTTTTTAATATATATCATCTTTTTTCAGAAAGCTAACTCATATTCCCCATAAAGGACATGCATGTACATAAAACGAAGGTATAATATGGTACATAATTTATTATATTACATCTTTTAATAAACTAATGCTATACATATACTACAATAATACATCATATAATATTTTTTTAATAAACTTTTAACGTATATATATCATTTTTTTTCAGAAATGCTAATTCATCTTCTTGCAAGAACGTGCATACATACATAAAACAAAAAAGGCTTACGCTAATCGTGCAATATGCTCCGACGCAATCGTCGCTTAAACGCTTCTGCCGTGGAACGAAAACAAAAACATCGTGCCCCGAGACCGGAGAATCTGGAATCTGCCACCCGACGTGCAAGTATGCCAACGAAAAACAAAGCTGAGAACATTATACTTACAACTTACGTGCAATAAAGAGCAATGAAGGCGTTGATGCATCTGTCGCTCGGTCGAAAATCTTGTCTCACACATTCGGCACAGTTGACATTAAACGCCTCGACGTTACTGAAGCGTAGTGCGATCACGGGGAAATTTGAGGTTATGTTAAATGAACGTTAACGATAACGTCGTATTTAACGGCTGGCATATCAGTGTCGGGACGTAAGAGAGTGTAAACGCGCGATCTCCAAAGGAAAAACCACGCGAACGTCAACAGAACGTGGATATCTCGCGGTGTTCGGCAGCTCTGTTCCTTTTTTTCCTAACACCCTTCATTTTTCCCTTTCTCTTTATTTGTTTAATCGTACGCCTCTCTACACGGCCGAGATAGATTGAACCATGTGTAGAAAAATTCGCTAGGAAGTCGAACAACAATAGGAAGCCGTAGTCGGAGGGCGAAGTCCGTTTGAGCCGCGAGTCGAGGGTTAACGTGGTGTTCCCACTCCGCGGTTCTGCGCTGTTTACCGTGCGTACCCTCTTCAGTCCATCTTGCGCATCGCGTCGAACGCGGGAAATTCAAACAACAAATCCGTATTGATTCTTTGGTTGATGTAATTTTTATCAAAACACCATGCGTGCTTATATTAAAAATCCATGTTACAATCTGTGCAATCGTACACGCATTATCTTACGTAATAGAAAAATATAATTGTATAAAATTTTCAGGTATTTAAATAGACGTGAAGTAAAAATCTAATTCTTGTTAAATCACGGAGCCAGGAGGAGATTTAAAGATCAATGGGGTAAGTATTAAAAATTATTTCTGTCTATTTCATTAAAGGTCAACGGCAATATTTCTCGGTCAATTTGTAATTGATTTCTATTTCTAATGTTTGCTTTTTGAATACTACTTCTTTCTACTCAATTTTATGATTTTAATGGAAGAAATTTAGATTTTTATAGTATTGTGATTTAGATGATTTTAAGATTGTAATTTCTTTAAATAAAACTTTCAAATTGATCAATTATTTTTGTATTTCTAAAAATCTTAAGTTTGTATCTTTAAGAAATAAATTGGACAAGATGAAAGAATATATCGTGTCTTTTATTTTAGGTTTAAGCTCTTTCAAAACAGCGTTATTTAAAGAACGGATTATAGTATAATATTTCTCACAAATTGATTCGTTTCAATTTATACAATAATTGAAGACCTTTTAGAGAAACATAATAAATAAATCCTTGTTTGTTTATTTATTTGTATAAAAAAAATCTGGCGAAACCGCTGTCAGTGTTAAAATTTCTATTCAATGTTAAATTCGTGATTAAACGCGTCAAACGCTTCAAGCGTCGAACAAAAACACAGACGCTCGAAACATTATAGGGCGAATCGATAGGAGGAGAAAAGCGATAAGAAGAACGAAAACGCGCGCTTTACATCACACGCACAGTTTGCGTGACAAGCGGAGTGGATCCTCTCTTTCAAATATTACCGCGAACGAACTTGAATCGTGACGAGTAGCCATAGGTGGCGCTCGTTGTTCGCGGCATGAATTGAATGGACGCGAGAAACTCAAGCGTCTGCAGCGCTATAGCCGCCTCTCCCTGGGGCGCATCCTGCGCATGCGTTGCACGTTTATTATCTTCTTTCTGTTCAAGTGCCATTTCATTGCATGCAGTGCAGTCTATAAAACAGAATGCGTTCTCGGTGGATCTCGAGTTTCCTATCACTTATCGTCATTCGTAGCGTATAAACATAACAGCACGCGGTCATTAACTTACAAATTGTTTACGTGTCGTTCGACACATGGGAACCCGCTGATATCGTGCATGAAATGCCAGTTTCCGTATTATAAAAAACACGATCGGGCCATTGTTAGCGTCGTAGTCGGGCTTTTCGGGATCGAATAATTCGCTGAACGGTTTCGCGCGAGCAAAAATGTCATGCAGCTACGCGGACGGTCTCTCGCAGTACGAAAACAAAGGAGTGCTGGGCCTGGAAGAGGTAAAAATCGTTTATTCACTGTCGCTTGTTTGGCGGGAGTCGGCCATCCGCGACGATTTTTTTAATCGTTCGCCCGCCC